ACACACACACACACACACACACACACACACACACAGACACTCCATGCAACTACATGCACAGACTGCACTGCCTCACACACATGCACACTCACGCAGGCATTAAATATCAAGGACGTCTCTTCAGAAGCTCATCCACGTACACCTAAATGCATGTGTGATGTGCAACAGCAATATTTATGTGCACATGCACATGCATGCCTCCATGCTGTTCTCACACGTGGGCTCATGTGAGTCAAACATGCTCTATCGGCATTGGTTCTCCAATACATGTTCTCCAACATCGCTCCAAGGCCAAACACCCACGTCTCTTATTTTCATTCACACACATGCGCACACAGACACACGCACACACAGACACAGACACACACACACACAAATCAAGGACTTCACATTCAGAAGTAGACATGTTGTTCATCATGATGTCCTCAACCAATCCATTTTCCTGTTCTCTGTAGAATAGTCGTCTTTCATGCGTCCGACACACACAGCAGCATTTTAACTGCTCAGTCTTAGATAAAAAGCTGCAATCAGCCACATTTAATGTGGACTCCCTTAATGATCAGATCAGCTTCATTCCCACCTTGATTTATTCAGTCAGGATTCCTTCTGCTCTGAAATCCTGAACTGAACTTAGATTGAAACATGTTTTGTTTTGTTGGGTTTTTTAACTCTAGATTTGTTTTAAACTGCACTGTATGCCTTCAGCTGCTACAGGTATGTGGCCTAATCATTCATGTGTCAAGCATATATCTTAAACATAATAAATACACATAGTTTGGTGTCAATGAATGCATTTGTTTTATGTGACTAATTCATGAAGTAATTTATTCTGTTCATCACTTTTAACCGGGTTCGTTAAAAGGTTTGTTCCAGTGGTTTTATACATACCTACAATATTCATATGTTCTTCAGTCAAACTCCAAATTCTGATTCATCTCTACTATTTCAGAGCCCACTAATATTATATTCTATTGAACAGTTAGAAAATTCTGTGAGATTTCCTCCCACAGTGTTTACTTTTACTGCATCCATCCAAATGCAAAATTCAAAAAATATTGTTGTATTCATGTGGGCGTCCTTCTGATGCCTCTCATACCTTAACACTTGCATTATATATAGTTTAATACAGATGTAGGGGCATTTTGCAATAGTTATTAATGTAGAATTACGTACCGGTGATCTATGAAGGTTTGTTTAATATAACTTCTACTATTAAAGGGAAGTGTTTTAACTCAATTGTGATCAATTTCATATCAGATTTGCTTAATGTTACAGACATTTAAAGGGACGCTCCTGCACTGTGTACACAAATAACTGCATGTTCTCATGTTTCGTGGGAAAGTCCACTGCTCTCAGGTCGTCTCTCTATCTCTTTCTTTTTCTTCCTCTGTTCTGTCTGCATCTCTCAACGTCCTCTTTTGCTTTGCTTTGCATCCCCCCGACCTTGTCTTTCTCTGTGAATGTCCACTCAAATCCTACTCTCACTTCATCAGGTCCGAATCAAATGCTGCCACAGCCCGTTTACCAACTAACCAATCAGAACGCACTCCCCTGTAGGCTTCTGTAGGAGACCCTGTAGAACCTTGGTCCTCCTCCTAAACACTGTCATCTTTTACATTATATATTTATTTTTGTTATTAGCCTTGTCATTATAAACGGTATATCCATCAAAAACACTAACAAATCTATAGTTAATGGTCAGTGTGTAAGATTTAGGTAAAAGGGATTTTTGGCAGAAATTGAATATAAAATAATCCTAGTGATGTTTTCACTGGTGTGTTTCATCTAAATTGTATGAATCATCGTTTTCCTTTCCATAGAATGGGCACTTTATATTTACATGGAGGGGGGGTCTTCTCTGTGGAGGCCGCCATGACAGTAAAAATACTGTCGTCCAAACTGGACAAACACCCTAGGAGAGTGAAATGAGGAGTGTTCAGCTGCAACATGCAAATTCACCACTAGATGTCACTAAATTCTACAGACTGTACCTTTAAATTAACATTTTTAATCCATCAATCCATCACAAATTTTCAGCCGGTGGGAAGAAATTATTGCAAGTACAAAACTTCACCTCACAACTCCATCCATCACAGTGTACACCAGTTTCATTAGTTCAGGTAAACAGATCAATACTTCAAGGACAAACGCTATCAATTCATATTTACGTGTGTGTGTGTGTGTGTGTGTGTGTGTGTGTGTGTGTGTGTGTGTGTGTGTG